AAAGTGATATGAGACTTCCTGACAGGGTTGGAACAAGGCTGCTCAGAGACAACACTGAAATGAAACAAAGTGATACTGACAGGGGAGAGAGAGGCATAAAAGGGAGAGGCGTAAAAGGACTTTGGCAAGGAGTAATAAACAAGAGAGTCATTACTCAACAAGACTTAAAGAAAATTACAGCTAGGAAGGAGAAAACTGTCAACCTGACAAATATTGTTCTTCAGTTTTCCTTAAATCCATCATAAGAAGGGAGATCAGTTTGTTGTGAAATCTGTAAAGCTTCACTGTCATCAGTGTATCTGTATTGATTGCTTATGTTAACCAAGAATCAAGCTCTTTGTATAAAAGAATTTTTTTTGGGGGGCAAGTAGATTCAGCCTATCTTGATACACTGACTCTACCAAAAGGACAAGGCTGAATCATATTCTCTGTAGAGGTGAAATATAAGGAATTAGTGAAAATTGTATCAGAGAAAATTGTATCAGAATGGCCCTCAGTCCTTTAAATAATGGGAAGGGTCTCAGGGAAAGAGACCAAAAATAGCACCCTTATTTACAGACACAAGCTGAGGATAGGCAAAATAAGTGTTTAGCTTCAGTTAGGTGAATGAAGTAGTTCTTTTGAGCACACTTTGTGGAAAACAAAATGATCAGTAAAAACAACATGGACTAATAAAAACTTGAAAAAGAGAGAGTCTTTGACCTGTGCAGTAAGATAAGACTTTTTGGCTAATGAAATAAGGTGGACACAGTATATGTTGGCTTCTGTAAGATATCTGATATGGTTCCCCATGACTTTTCCAACGAGAGAAATATGGATGAAATAGGACTACTGTAAGGTGACTGCACAATTGCCTAAGAATAGATCAGAACACATAACTATTAATGGCTCATGATGTCAGGTTAGCTAACTGGCTAAGTTGGTAGTAGTGTTTCACTGGGCTTCTGAATCTAACAGGACTACCTCTATATTTTCACCCATGGAGCTTTAAACACTAACATATGTCAATCAAATGTCCTCTCCACCTCAATGTTATATGACTGGCAAGGAGACAGATGATTAAAAATCCAAACCCTCCTCTCTTCTGTCAGTGTATCTTGTCCTCTGGCTGCATCTAGACAGATCAGGCAGTATGTGCTGTGGGACACCCCACAGTCCTGAAACAGCTGCTATCCAGAACAGGTACCTGGCTGGGACACCTTGCAGCTTTTCTCTGGTCTTTCTTCCTGCAGAAACCCAGGTGCGTGGGGCACATGGGGGAGGGAGGGAGATTACCTGGATTGAGGAGCTCAGAAGTGTTCCCACGTACACAACTGTCTTCTTGTCTGCTCTTACAACTGCAAACTCCTGCTAGTGAAGCTTTTAAAATGTTTTTTTTTGTTTCTCTTGAGTGTGTTGTACCTAGCAAGGAGTAACAAGAAATAGCAGTAATACCATTTTTAATGGATGGCCTGAGGATTTAGCAGAGGTTGCTGTGTATTAATCAGCAGATGACTTAAGGCATGGCAGGTATACAGTTGTCTCGTGAAAGGCTGGATTTTTAAATGCAGTAGGAACTTGACTGGTTGCAGAAAAGGACTAAAATCAGTTGAATAACAAGAAGTGCTACAGGATGAATCAAGTCCATAGACCCAGATGGTGAACATACGCTTGTCTCTATTACTAGAGAGTGGATGCTGGAAACACAAAGAGAAGATGAATCAGAGGTATCCTGCTGTCAGACATCAATCAGTTTTGTAAGCAGCAGAATTAATGGATCCTGGTGTCCTTTTAATTTATGTCTAGTATTTGGTATCTCATTCTCTTATGTCTAGTAAAATGCAAATCTGTCTGATGTCTTTCACATTCAAAATGAGAGCTCATAATCTCTCTGTTGTTTGTTTTCTTCAGTTTTTGGTGCCTAATTAAGACTGCACTCAGGCTTCCTGCTTCCTATGGTGGGGACTGTCTCCTTTGTCCAGCCACCCGTTTTCCTGTAAACTTGTAGGAGCATTGTATCTTTGCGATTTCAGACTCTTAAAATTAGTAAATGAGCTCAAAAGCTACTAGCATGAAGCAGGTAAGATCAAAAGACATGCAGCATGACTGCATAAACCTTTCCAAGGCAATCAGGCTAAAACGGCAAAAGACAGATTCACTAGTGCACTCAACAGGTGCTGTTCTGGCAAAAGCAAGCTCTCCTTTGGCAGTCTTGTCGCAGAGACTCTGTAGGGAATATCCAGGGCCCAAGTGCGAGCTGTCAGCACAGGAAAGCTGGCTGTGTGTGCTGTCTTTTGCACTGAGGACACATTTCCATCCAGCTTGGGAAGAAAGGCAAACTCTTACTCAACTGAAGGAGATTTTTTAAAAGTGAACAAGCTGTTTAAGACTCCAGCAGGATGCCATGAGACTCATACACTGCAGCCACGCACAGCAATGTCTCCCTACCCTCCCTGAATAGCACAGCTCTTCAATAGCAGCGTGGGAACTGCAGAATGGCTAAGAATGGTTAAATGTCTACAAAATGACTGGCCATGTGTTTTCCTATGGGCTGTCAATTTACCTGTAGAGAAGCTTGATTTCTGTTTTTCCAATACCAAGAGATTACAGTGGGACAGTGTCTCACTGGGAGCTCTTACAATCACTAGCCATTTAGGAAGATATACTGGTTTAACAAGTATTTGACTATGTATTTAACCTCAGATACGTGCTTCACTGTTGCAGATGTGAGTAGGACAGAAGCATTTGCACGTAGCATTCTAAATTGGAGCTGAAGCCGTATCAGTGTTTTATATTATGCACAGATTATCTGAAAGAAGTGTGCAAATATCCAAGAATGAGAAATGAGTTTTCTGTCCCAAGACTTTAACCACTTCTTTTAAGTAGAAGACTTAAAAGTAAAACTCGTCTGCTTTACTGTTTGCAATTCAAACATCGGTCGAAGCTTGAAAGGTTGAAGCTTTTAACAGGGAAATACTTAGAAGGCCAATATAACCTATCCAAATCTTATTTTGAGAGGACTCCAGGTATGAAAAGCATGAGATGTCTACAGCCTCTGACGACTTACTGAGATATTTGCAGCGTTAGCCATGGAAAAATGACCTTGTCTAACATAAATAGCCGGAAGAACAAAATTCTAGTTGATCTCATGTGAAAAAATAGTCGACAAGTAGTACTTGATCACAGAGGAACGGGCTCTATCTCTGAAAGCAGCAGCATGCTGATTGTCTATGGTAATGGCTTTTCTAGAATTTGGCCTTCGGTAATAAAATTCACTGTTGTTTGATTCCTAGTGAACATGAACAGTATCTGCCACCATATAAGTCTGCTTGTTCAGTAGTTTTCCTGAGCATGTACTAAAATGCTTTATTTGAATAGGGCCTGATTTTGAAAAGATTTATACTTTTTACACTTCTCTTTGCTGTAATGCACAATGTAATTCGTTTAGCTTCAGTGAAATTTAGTTAAATTAAGTTAATGGAAATATCTTTTTAGGCTTTGCTTAATGAAATTTTTTTCCTTTTTGTGGATTATTCCAACAGTGGGGACAAGAACTAAGTGCTTTAAAAGTTAACAAACAGTTTTCTATAGAAATTATCCACCATACCAGCAGAATTTAGGGGTGTTTTATAACCCTTGCATTTACTCTTTTATCTGTTCCATTTGGATGTTCTTAATAGAGATTTCTTTCTGTACTGCAGAGCTGTATTTTCATTTCTAATTGCATATTTGATAAACCAGATTCTACAAGGTTTTCCCAAAGAGGTTGTCTCCCTATATATGTAGATATTCATCAAAGGAGAAGAGACTGAACCACCTTCATTGCTCTTGCTGTAAGAGCCTCAGTATGAGGCATGGCAGGTCTCTCTCATAGCAACATTGCCTGACAAAGTTGTCTTCTTGGCACACCACGATGGCTAGGGGATTTCAGGAGGCACGGCCAAACTTCTACATCCACCAACACTGGAGATGGTCTGTTTGAGCCCCAGGATACAGTGTTGCTGGGGCTGGGGCTTCTGGGAGGGAGAATCACAAGGCAGTGTCCCTTGGCCACGGCTCTGGGATTCTCTCCCAGGAGCTATTGCTCGTGTACAGAAGGAAGCAGTAAGACAAGACCCAGCCAAAGCGTGAGGGGATTCTGAGCAGGCCACAACTGTGGAGATTTGTAGACTCCCAGCACCCTCTGTTTCCTTCCTCCCTGTCCACCCCAGTCCTCACTACCAGCATCTCATCTTTCAACACCTCTCAGTCTTCAGCGCTGGAGCTCTGAATGGTGCTGCTAAAACACCACTCCTTGGCCTCCAAATGCTTCATCACCCTCCCTGGGCACAGCCACACTCTTCAGTGGTGTAGGTAACTGCCTCTGCCATTTCAATTCAACCAAACCACTTCACTACAGGCACCTAGGATCCTAATGCTCCTCTGTTAAATGTTCCTCAGTCCTGGTACGCAACAGGAATCTGTATCATGGACTGGTCCTCCTTAGATGTAGAAGTAAATTGATATACACAGGAAAAGAAAGCTGCTTCTCTCTCTTTTCTTCCTTGTGTTTGCCTGGAGCTGGGTGCTCTCTGAGGGTTTCAGGCAAGGAAAGTTGCTTTCCTCCTTGGTGAGTTTCTTTTCATGTCCATGTTGGACATAAGCACTATGTTAGTCATTTCTCTTTGAAGGGCTTTTTAGCACAGAAATGCTGGGCATTGAGGTATTGGTAACACTAACCTGAAGCTTGCATCTTTCTAACCTGAAGCTTGCACCACAGAAACAGTAAGAGTATAGAATATATTTTCTTAATTTAAAGTAAAGAAACAGGAGTTTCTCCTCACTGGGAGTAGAGGGTGGGGGAAAAAAGGAGCATGTTTAAGTGCCAGGTGACAATGTCCATCACACTACTCAGTGATGAAGTTAAGACGACAAAAATAGACAAAGTGACCTCATGGCTTTCGGCAGCAATGCCTACGAGACAAAAGAGAGGCTTTAAAAGGCTTGTGGAGCTGATAGCAAAGGGCTTGGACACCTCAGAGTTTTGGTACTGCTCCAGAAGGGAACTGCTTTGCTTCTCTCTCATTGCCTCTCTCTCTGTTTATGGGGAGTTGTGAGTTAAACGGGCATTGTGACATGCCCAGCTCTCCAGGTCTGGACTCTGCCTTCTCAAGCTTGGATCAGCCTTATGCAGGTATTTTCTCTTCTCTTCTTCTTCTTCTTCTTCTTCTTCTTCTTCTTCTTCTTCTTCTTCTTCTTTTTCTTCTTCTTTTTCTTTTTCTTCTTCTTTTTCTTTTTCTTTTTCTTTTTCTTTTTCTTTTTCTTTTTCTTTTTCTTTTTCTTTTTCTTTTTCTTTTTTCCTTTCTTTTCTTTCTTCCTTTCTTTTCTTTCTTCCTTTCTCTTCTCTTCTCCTTTCTTCTCCCTTTCCTCTCCTTTTTCTTCTCCACTCCTTCTCCTATTCTTTTGCCTTTCTATTTTCATTCTTGCTCTTTACCTTCATCAAGTTATCTCAGGAAGATTTATCTTTTTTTCCTGAAACTGTTGTGGGAGATAGTAACTTGAATGACATGATCATTTTTCTGTTGGAAGGATTGGTATAATTAGTGATGTGCATTAGCCTTCAATGAGAAGGAAAGTAGAAATGAGAAGAAGAGAAGAGGGAGGCGAGTAGCAGGTCCCAGGGGGCCTTACTTGCCAGCTGCTTCACAGCACAGGGCAGTTCAGAACATGGATGATAGGACCAAGGGTTGGAGGCATAGCCAAGAGTGTCTACGGTCGTATTTTCTCTATAATTTATGTTCTATATATATTTTCTATATATTTTCTCTCTTTCTAGTATTTGATAGCTCAGACTATAGAGTTGAGCGCTTTCACGGTACTCTGCTGTCAGAAGGGGCTACACAGACACTCACTTTGGATGGTGTAGCTCCCTAGATGTTGGCTCCTGATGCCAGAAATCCTCTTGTGAGTCACTCAGGGTCCTGAGTTTACATATTCTGCACTTGACTAAGACCGTGTGGTGCTGCTCTTCCTCCTTGTAAATTTAGAAGAAAAGTATGAGCCACGTGAGGTGTAATAGCTTGTAGCAAGGAAGAAATCTCTCTTATTTCCTCCATTGTGAACAACCCTCAGAGACCCTCAGGTGTGCAGATTTGTACGTAGAGTGGACAGATCTTCTCTAGCAGGTCCCCACTGAATGAATGTTCTGTGATAAAATGGTCAGAAGTGAGATCCTGAGAGGACTGAGCAGCTTCCATCCTCTCTTCAGCTAACACTGTCCCCCAGCAG